CCATCCATCCATCCATCCATCCATCCATCCATCCATCCATCCATCCATCCATCCATCCATCCATCCATCCATCCATCCATCATCTTCTTCTGCTTAACCAGGGCTGGGTCACAGGGGCAGCAGCGTAAGCAAAGAAGCCCAGACCTCCCTCTCCCCTGCCACCTCCTCCAGCCTTTCCGGTGGAACACCAAGGCGTTAGCTGAGAAACATCCTCCTCCGGGTGGGACATACCCTGAACACCTCACCAAGGAGGCATCCTTATCAGATGCCTGAACCACCTCACCTGGCTCCTTTTGATGTGGATGAGCAGCGGCTCAACTCTGAGCCCCAGATGGCTAAACTCCTCACCCTATCTCTAAGGGAGAAAGCAGTCAAACTTCGGGAAAAGCTCATTTTCACTGCTTGTATCCGCAATCTCTTCTGCCCAAAGTTCCTGACCAACGCTGAAAGTGGGGATGTAGACTGACCAGTAAATTAAGAGCTTTGCTTTTACACTCAGCTCTCTCTTCACCACGATGAACCGCTATAGCGTCCACATCACTGCAGCTACTGCACCAATCTGTCTGTTTGTGAACAAGACCCCGAGCTATTTAAACTTCTCCACTTGGGGCAGGAACTTGTCACTGATAGGGCACTCCACCTTTTCCAGCTGACGGCCTCAGTCTTGGAGGTGCTGATTGTCATTCCTGCTGCTTTACACTCGGCTGTGAACTGCTCCAGTGTGAGGAGGAGGCTGTCACCAGATGAAGCCAGAGATGAGTGTCTGAGACCACCTAATTGAAAGCCTTCTGCCATTTGGCTACGATAAAAATTATGAAGAGATTGGTGACAAAAGGCAGCCCTGGCGGAGTCCAACACCTATCAGAAATGAGTTATTGCCCTGTGGACTAAGCTCTTGCAAAGGTTGTATGAGGATTGTATGGCCCGTAGCAACAGGCCAGACACCCCAACTCCTCTGACAGGACACCCAGAGGGACACGGTCGAATGCCTTGTCCAAGTATCTCCAAATATAGACTGATATATGTAAGCTTGTTTCCGTCTCAAAAGAAGAAAACAGGCCATGCATAAGTCAAAATTTCACGTTGTCTTAAAATTTCAAGTTATTTTCTTAATTTTGGGTCATTTTCTCAAGAATTGAGTGAGTAAGTTGAAACTGAGATCCCTAACTCTACTTTCTTTTTTAGGCAATTTACTTTACTGATTTAGGATACATGCTGGTGCAGAATCATTATTTAATTAGAGAATTACTATCTCTAAGATTGACAGGAGGTGGACAGGAAGTTGTCCTTCAATCTGTTTTTATGCATTTACAAGTAGTTTATTCTCCCACTTAAACAAAAGTTGTTGTTTTTTTTTTTGCTATAGCAGAGTTCTGTATCTTGTAACAAATACAAGATACTATTTGGTTATGTGTAAACATAACCAAATCGTTTTTAGTGCCTAGACCTAAACAAGCAATGCGTAAAAAACAAATTAAAAAAAGTGAAAAGTGAAAAGCAAAAAAAGCACAATGCCCCCAAAACAGCTGACAAACAAACTCTACTAGGACCTCTAAGATCTCCTAACACTGACTTTTTAGATATTTGAAGGAGCTCTGCTGTCACTCTAGGTGCAGCCAGTGGCATCAGAACCAAAGGACACCCTGTGTGTATCATTGTGACACCAACAGCATCTGACAGAACAGCTGTATCGGACACACTGTGACTGAAATATTTCATTAGCTATTTAATGAATTTTGGTAAACATACCCACGAGGACCAGATAATATTGACTTGTGCTGTTGGTGAGCCCCATATTTCATCTAGCTCAAAACAATTTTTTTCCTAACATCTCCAGCACCAGCATTTTGTGTTTGTAGTTAATGTTAGCATGCTAGCACACTAAGATGATGTCTTACATGCTAAATATCAGCATCTTGCTCTGCTTGTGTAACAATGTTAGCATGCTTACATTACCTATGGGTTTAACGTGCTATTTAAAGTTAAAGTTTAGACTCACATAGTTGCCAACACTCATGTTTTATATATGTAAGGTAGATATACACTGACGGGCCAGGTTGTGTAGTTTCTTATTGCTAATGTATTCATGAGCATCCTTTAAACTCAATAAATGAGAGACAACCACTTCACTTTTCTTTCTCTTTATTTTGGAGATCACCATTAGACATTTCCACAAATAAAAAAATGAA